ATAATCATTAATATTGATGGTACTTTTAATTAAAATAAATGTATTTTTATTCTTATAATTCTTTTGTGTATTTAGCGTTGCTTTCGCTGTAGTCGACCAATTCTACGAAGTGAGCCCGCGGTCATCGCTGAAGACATCGGACAAGAAGCGATTTATCATCCAGCATGCTTTTCGTGCGAGACGTGTGACGAGTTGCTTGTGAACCTGGTGTATTTTCACAGCGAAGACGAAGTGTACTGCGCCAGACATCACGCCGAACTCTCAAAACAAAGATGCGGGGGATGTGATGAAGTAAGAAGCTTGTACTTGATAAGAATTCACAACACGAAGTGTCTTATTACGGGTCTTCACGTAATGCGTAAAGATTCTGTAACTTAGATAGTTATGCGATGTGTATAGCTACGTTTTTGTTGCGTAAAATGTCTCAATACCATATTTCAAACAGTCTTTTTGTGTGCTAATGCTGTATTTCCATACATATTACGGAACTTTTACGTATTATTTACACATTATGGAACTTTTACGTATTGCTTGCGGATACGTAAAAGTCCGAATTCRTGCTGTGCAGTGTGTCTGTTTGAAATTCCCAATCTCATCCGTGCAAAGCTCTGTGAAAATTATTACAATCTTTGTTTCTGGTAATTAACATCTCATTTGCTTTGGGTTTGGYACGTGTGAGGTTCGACGTTTTCAGCGGGTTTTGAGATCGTTTATTGTGTTTATGTGTTAGTACGTAGCCAAAACAATCGCTGGGCTTAAGGCACGACGCACCAGGCAAATGGCAACGCGTAATACTTCAATGAAAACAGAAGAAAACAGTTGAAATACGTTCTTCTAACGAACTAATAATATCTGATAATATCTGATACGTACAGTCAAATAGTCATAAAAATGAAACGCAGTGTAATGAGAAACCACTAATATCTATTTCACGCGTTCTTTGAATTCATGAGTATTTGACTTTAATGGATTCCAACAATCCGTGAAAAAGCTAGTTGACAGCTATGAACCATTTACACTGAATTAACGGAGTTTAGGGCAAGCGGTACTTCAAGCAGAAGGTAGTGTATTCGAATCTAGAAACATGAGCTTCATTCTTCATATCACATCCTTACGTAAATGATTTGTGAACGACCGCACTGCAGGCTGCTATTTCTTGAGGAGTTTAGATGGTCCGCCATTACGTAGATTGGTTTGTGTAAACGGCCATACTGCAAATGTCTTGTTATTAAAGCGCGTACATGATCCGTGACGTCCTTGCTTATAAACGCTTCGTTATAAATGATCACAGACACTGCAATTCGCTATTCATATAAGCGTTTACATGTTGTGTTTTTGCGTAAGTGCTTTGTAAACGATCAATCTCTCAAACGGCTATTACACGCTTACTAGATTCGCGGCGTCCGTGCGTAAACGATTCGGCATAAATGATCACACTGCAAACAAAGCGCAATTCATATGTTGCGTCCTTGCGTAAATGCTTTGCAAACTATCACTCCGCAAACGCCTATTTATCGTAGCGTTTACGTGYCACGTTCTTACGTAAACGTTTTGTGTAAACTAAACGAACACACTGTAAACATCTTTTCACGCAATTTGATCTTTTTGTAGTTGATATTCTCTGGCGAGTATACCGTGGCAATGAATCGAAGTTGGCATCTTGGGCATTTTAGATGTCAGCGATGTGACTCAAGCATCACAGGTATAGCCCTCTTGTGTTGAAGTTCTGTCCGCAACTTTTCTCGAAACAGCGTTGCAAAACAAGCTAAAAGGGGTTTAACAGCGCCTTATAATAGTCTCCTTCGCGGTTCCCTGCACCATCTTGAAGGGTAGCCGTGCCTTTACATCGAAGCGAGACAACCGTTGAGCGTGCAATGATAGAAGCCTGTGAATAATTGTCTGTAGATGTGAAAGAAGCTTTCTATCATTGCTCGCTCAACGGTCGTCTCGCTTCTATGCAAAGGCATGGCTACCTTTCAAGATGGCTCAGGGAACCGTGAAGAAGATTATTTTAAAATTTGCGAGGGAAGTTGTCGGCGGGTGATTCTGCAAAGGAAGGTCTTGGTATACTTATGCAACGCATCATCATCATAATCATAATCATCCATAATAGATTGTTACAATGGTTTTCTTCCCTAATGACGTCATGTGTTTTTGGCGAAATGCATCATGGGTTGATAAAAATATCAAGATGGCGGACGTCTCATCAAACCTACGAAGGACCATTATGATGGACGTGGTTTCTTTGTAAAATTGTCGTTGTCCATTGTGGAGAATACTTTAAAGCATACTTAAGTGTGTAGATATCTTATTTAACGTCTTCGCAAAGTGTTTTTTTTTACAAGGGATAAGTCTCATTTCGCAACCTCGCGTCGTACATTTTATGTTACATATAAAACATGAGCGGGAGACCTTTATACTATACATAAAACTGATACCTGCAAGAGCCCATAAAGGTCGAACGCGAATATTTTATATTGCTTATCAAATTCCAACATAAGCTAAAAAGCAAATTTTGCAAAAAAGATAAAGTATCATTTGTAAGAGAAAGTCGAAGTTAAAGTCGAATGCATATCAGAACAAATCTCTTGCTTATATAAAGATGCGGTCACGGCAATGATTTTCCATTGTGTTTACCTTATGAATTATTGATAAATTTGAAAAATAAATACCATGGCGTACTTCGCCAAAACAGACAAATTGTTATTAGTTGAAACAAATATTTAGTTTTGTTTTTATCTGACATTTTAGGGAAGCAGTTCATCGTGTTAAAAGACAAGCCCGTCTGTAATGACTGCTTTAGAGATTCTTATGCGCATGACTGTGATGCTTGTGGTCAAAAGATTGGACCTGAATGTCGTGACATTACATCTGATGACAAAAGGTATGATAACATTACACAGGACTTGAACATTACACAATGCGACCGCCATCTTGAAAAGTGGGCCTCGAATCACTAAATTTCTAAAGAAATCTAAACTTTCTAACTTCTAAAGAAATCTAAGCTAATGTCAAGTTAATATAAGACGATATAGATTAGCTGACTTAGCATCTAAGAAATGTGTTCGTATACATTTCGGAGAACAATACGTCCTCCATCTTGAAAAGTGGGACAGGAATCACTACGGTATGCCTTAGAACACATTTCGTAGTTGCTAAGTCAACTAATCTATCATTATATCGCATAATAATAACTTGACATTAGCTGAGGAGTTTTTAAATTCTTTAG